TATAAGAATAATCTTGATGATTTTTTTCTTTTTTTTTACTTAACTACAAAGTTTTTCCCAGCCTTTTTACTTAGTGGTTTATACTTACAATATATCTGATGACATTAAACGTTAACAGAATGAAATTGACCTGGGTTCCAAAAGCCTCCTTTTGGATTTTCATTGAAAGGTTTCTTTAGATCAGACCTAATTTTTCAGTTTTCAGGTCTAGGCTCAGTCATAAAATCTCACAGCAGTATACCATAAAATAACACAAGCACATCAGTAATAATAACAGCTACCATCTTTGTCAAGCAATATGCCAGAATTATTTTAATTATCATTTCTACCTAATAAGTTACGTATAGTTATTTTTTTTCTATTTCATAGAAGAGGAAGTTGAGGCTCAAAGAGGCTAAACGACCTGTCCTAGGACACACAGCTAAAAAGTAGTAGATTAAGGTTCTGAGCTCAGATCTGATTCCAAAATATATGCTCTTTACACATACAACACTGCCTCCCAAAATATCAGAAAGAAAAACATAACCTAATTCAAAAAGGTAAAAACTCTATATATGAACAAGTCAGCAAAACTTGAATAAATAAGTAATTCAAGCCAAAACCACATTCTCTTCCATTATTTGCAGAGACCAAAAGTCTTCTCTGTTTTCCTTAAACCAGCATAATTTCTTCCTTCCTCAAGTTGCTTTACAAATTAAAACAGTCTTCAGTTTACAGGGAAGTTGATTTTAAGGGCCTGGTTCAACTCAATGCTGAACTACTTTTTTATTTTTCTAAGGCAACAGAGACATCTTTTGGCCAATAAATGAAACTGCAAGATTATGGGACTAACATGTCAATATACAGTATGCTGCCCTAAGCCATCATCTATTTCTTTTTTTAGTGATTCCTTGGTCCTTTGATGTTCTAAAGCCAACAATGGCCACAAAAGGGAATGTTTCCATAGCAAAGGCAGAGTCAGTGTCTGGATCTACTACCTGAAATGTAGTTCAATCTGAATGGAACCGTGGGTAGTGCTGCTGTTCTTAGAGGGCTGAAAGATACAGCTGAATACATTTGTCAGGCCAGGGCTGGTCTTCTGCCCAGCATAGCGGGTGTCAAAAGCCATCATAGAATGGGAAACCAAGTTAATGGACTTGGTTTGGTTGGAAAAACTCTCATAGAGCAGTTTACATTTCTTGAAGTCAAATCTAAAAGGGGAAAAGAGAACAGAAAAGATGTGAAACATAATTCTTTCATTTTACAAAAGTATGTAAGTTTAAGATAACGAGAGTAAAATCATAAACATATCTAAGTCCTACAAAGGAGAACAACTTTCATTCTGAGCTCTTTCAGAGATTTTGTTAATAGATGCCTCAAAATGGATTTAGTGTCATTGTGCCTTGTAAGAAGTTCATAGGAACTCTGTGAGAAATAATAATACCACATATTTATGCTATTGTTGATTATCATTCCCATTTCCCATCAGAAGTCTAAGAAGCCTGTATATTTGTAATAATCCCCAAGGGATGCCAAGGGTCCCTTTAGACCATCATCTGTCAACTTCTAACTTCCCTGGAGGTTTCTCTCTCCAGTCTGTCTGAACTTTTATGTAAGACTATTATAGCATACTGGGAACAACTTGAACAAATAACATTTTTCATACAGATAAGTAATTCAGCTGATCTACCAACAGAAAATGCCTCTGAAATTACCTTTTTTGAAAAAATAAAAGAAATGGCCAGGCACTGTGGCTCACGCCTATAATCCTAGCACTCTGGAAGGCCAAGGCAGGAGGATTATTTGAGGCCAAGAGTTCAAGACCAGCCTGAACAAGAGCGAGACCCCCATCTTTACAAAAAATAGAAAAATTAGCCGAGTGTGGTGGTGCACGCCTGTAGTCCCAGCTACAGGGAGGCTGAGGCAGGAGGATGGCTTGAGCCCAGGAGTTTGAGGTTGCAATGAGCTATGATGATGCCTCTATACTCTAGCCTGGATGACAGAGTGAGACCCTGTCTCAAAAAATAAATAAATATTTAATAAATAAGAGAAAGCTGCAATGAGCAATTCATAATTACTCAGCACCACTGTGACAATATATACAGAATTGTTGCATATTCAGAAAAACTAAAGGCATAGCCACTCATCAGAAAAAAACTGCTGGCTAACAAAACCACCAATCTGGGACCCCAGTTTCACTATACCAGGCTCTTACCAGCTGAATTAGGTACAGACCATGGCAGATTTTCAAGGGAAAGACAAACTAGAAGATAGAGCACTTCAGCAGGGAAATTACTAGCTTTGAAGTCCTGTTTTCAAATATCGAACCAATTTCCCAGGCATATGACCTTATGGTTAGTCAGGAAGTTTATCTGGAAAATTAAGAGTATATCTGCCCAACCTTACAGGGTTGATAAGTGATCAAAATGAAAAGGTTATTATGTGTGAAAACACAATGCACTCTTTAAAGTTCTACACCAGTAATCACAAATTCATACATCTACACTGACCAAGCAAGTGATATAAACAAGTGGACTGCTGGGTAAGTACACACCCCATCTAAAGGGAGTGGTTGCTACTCAGCTTCCAGGTGATTCCAAGTGAGAACATGGACCTAGGATTGCCAAAGCTTCTACTTTTCCAAACAAAGCCGAAATCCAAAATTTTAAGTGAAATCTCCCAATATTTTAAACGTTGGCCAGTGATGTAGTCATCAGTGCTGCAACCAAACACAGCTGGATCTCCCTCCCTGTAACTACCTGGACACAGTGAGACAGTACTTCCCAACTCTGCCGCACTGTGTGGGGCCACATTCTAGCTCCACAGGGTTTGCCAGAGTATTTAATCGCCATTCGAGACCGATTCCAGAGCTCGTTTTTCTCTCTGGCACAGCAAAACACTGGCTGCTCTGTCACCCTGAGTGACTCCAATGAGCAGAGCAGCCTCAGACCCACAATGGTCACATAGCATGAGGGCGAAAAATATCTTCACTCTTTTAAGTCACTGGTATGCAGGGTTGTCTGTTACTAGAGCATAACCTAACCTGTACTGGCTGACAGAGAAACAAACTGAAACTTTTCAAAAGCACTGTGTAGACCAAAAGACCACATTCTGCCTGTGGACCACCACTCTGCAAACTCCGCTCTATGCTAACACAAAATATGTGCATTATTTGGATTATTGTTACTAGTAATAAAATAATAAAATTAAAGCGATACCTGGCTAGAGACCCAGCACCTTCTTTTCCTTTTGGATCTTTAAGCTCCAGACTTACATTTACCATATCAATGAGGAAGCACATGCAAGTGTACACTTCTCCACTGAGAACAGTCTACAAGAGGAAAATGCTGATCAGTCCACAGTTGATGATGCCAACCTAAAAATGGGTTAATATGTCAAGAAATCTAATTTGCCTGTTGTTTCACCTTCTTTCTCCAGGTAAATTTGAGGAATATATATACATAGGGTGACATTGGCTGAGACTGTGAGGGTTACAGAAGAACATGAGATCTCACTCACATGAATTCTTGGATCTTGTAAATCATAAGGCCGCATAAATTCCTCTATGGGCTCTCCAAGGTTGTTCTCTAATAAGCCACGGATCAGTTTGTATTTATACAGGTCCAGGGAGCAGTGCACTGAGGAGAGATTGCCATGGATAGATACGTCTGGCACAGCATGACTTATTTCTCTACGAAACAGAAAAAAGGTCATTTACAACAAGTCCTAACTTAACACTGACATAGCTCACACCCAAATAGAGGGCTAAAATGTACCCACTTAAATATTACCAACGAGTTAATTTCTAACTTCCAATGACAAAAGTTTCATGTAGCTCCAAATACAGCAAATTAGTATGACTGTCATGCTTCAACTACAAAATATCCCTTTTTTCCCAAAACATACATCAAGAAAATCCTCCACTCTAACATGAGCTAACCAACTAATCTATTAATAAGGAAAACCTCATGACACTCAGAAATAGCTTAGACATTACAGTTGGGAAAGCAATAAAGCAAAGTGGTAACTAAAGGACAACAACCAGTTTCATGTTGAGCCCAGGTGGGACGTTAGGATAAAATCTAGATAGGTTACTTATCTCAGCTGGGTTGGGCAGAAGTAAAGTTGCAGATGGGGGAGGGGGGTGACACATGTATACCTCATCTCAACACTAAAAAACTTTCCCACCCCTCCCATGGGTAAAGTGGGCATCATGGATCCTACAGACACTACGCTCTGAGCATATAAAGCAGAGGATTAGGATTTGAAGTGGCAGAGGAATACAAAAAATTACTTTGTTTATAGAGAAAAGCATATATACAATAGAGTTTTTAAAAACCAATGATGCAATCAACCAAGAAAAACTGGGAAGTGCCACCTTGGGTTCCTGTTTCTGGGGTGTAAGAAGCTGAAAGGACACCTTGTGTTCAGTATCACATTCTATCTGGGCTAACAGAGTTTAATTACCTGCACATAAACACTGATGAGATTGGGGAAAGTTTAGATAAGCAGAGTAGCAAAGCACTTTTTTTTTTGGAAAGCACTGCTTCAAAAGAAAACAAAGTGTTCGATTTCTAAATAATGAAGCTCCTCTTAAGACTGCTTAGCCAGTAAAACCAAATATAGCCCATGCCAACCATAACTGAACACCAGCCAGGGAGCAGTTGAATAACAAGTAAGAGCGAAATACAAACATTCCAGTGAGAATGGCTAAATTGTATCATTAATCCAGAGAGAAACTAAAAAAGTGACATTAAATGACTTGACCAAACCCAGGAACTGTGACGAGAGTGGCCAAAGAAGGATCAAAATCATACTCTATCATAAGTAATGAGGCGGCTTTTCAAAATGCTACAAATGGAAATCTCTTTCTTTACCATACAGTCACACCTCATCTTTCCCTGGAGTTGAGATGCAAAACATTGCTGCTTTCTCCAAAATCAATGCCCTAAACTGAGAGACATCATACTCTGTAACTGGCGGTTCCCAGTCCATGTACATGGACCAGGCGAGGAGAAGTACTCTCAAAGAACTTTATTAAATATACCCCTGAGCATCAGCCCTGAGAGTCAGATTCCAGGTTCCAGGTAGGTCTGGGAATGTTTATTTTCAAGAAGGTTCCCAGCCAGATATGGAACTGAATGACAACTGAAGCAATGCTCTGAACTACAGAAATAAGCATCCTGTGTTTGGAGCCCAACGATAAGGGTAAAAGTACTTTCTGGAGTACTTTCAGATTGCTTCATGAAGTGAAATGGGCAAACCTGCACCTAAACATTTACACTGATTAAATGGAGTTCCAGGGTAAACAGCAATAACAGGTTCAAAACCTATTATATTTGGAACACATAATTCAAATGTCCATCTCTTCCAGGATACTCTGCCTGCAATCACTACCCTCCCTCACCACCCAAATCCATGCTAAATTTGTGTCCCTTTCTCTTTCTTTCCAAGGCACTTGTGATCTTATTAACACAGTTTTACAACACTGAATCAAACATTAAGCTAGAATCATCTACTTTCCTTCCTATATCCCTCAACAAAACAAAAGCTCCTGCAAGTGCAGATGCTTTCTCTTTCGTTATAGTACCCTCATGTCTAGCATGCTGTAAGGGGCTCAATAAACACTTGTTAAACAGATGAAGAAATAAGTGAATGCCTATGTTCTTCCAGACTTACCTTAATAGCACTAATTTCCAAGTTAAGATTCTACTTTCAATAGACAGTTATTCAAATGTAAAACACTCACTTGTCCAAGTTCCTTTCCACCTGCAATTTCAGCCTACAAGGCTCAGTTAAGAGGCTTCCTCCTGTTTGTCGCACAAAGTAAGAGGGGAAGATCAGATCTCCACTATTGTCCTCTGTGGCCATAGAGTATTCTCGTGGATGTCTCTCAGCAGCGAAGATGTCCATGTCCTGGAGATCCACAACGATGCAATCCAGCAAGCAAACATGGTCTTCTACAAGGACCCAAGGAAAGAGAGATAATGAAGAAAAGGGGACCCAAAAAGGGCTGGCCCTGAACAAAATTTAAAATTCTAAGTAAGTTCAGTCGGCCTTTGGAAAATGTTTAGAACTGCCTGGTCCCCCTGCCGTCCACTACTTAGAAAACTGGCTGTGCAGAAGTCTCCACTACGGCACCAAGACCTCCCCACACACAGCTCTGTGTGCTCGACACATCCTGTCACCTGCCCACCACTCCAAACACAGACTGTGTTACAGTCCAGTGTCTCATGCCTATCCTGAGATCCCAGGTGAGGGTTTATGACTAAATTTAACTTCACATGCAATCCCTCCCTAGAGACAATGCTGCCCAAAGGTTTACAAACTTTTCCCAGCAGCAAAATTTTTTTTCAAACAAATAATACCTGTAGCCACTTCCACTTCCACTGACCAAATCCAAATTACCTTCATTCTTGCCTAGGCCACCAAAATAAACTCTCCTCCATTATACCTACATAATTCCATTCTGGCCCTCACAAAACCATTCTCCCGACAAAATACCTGAGTGATCCTTTAAAAAATAAATAGACCGAACAATCCCTTCCTTTATACATTTTAATGGCTATGTTTAATCCAAAATTCTTTCTGCTAAACTCCCCCAAATCCCTACAAGGCCCTATAGAAGCCAACTGCCCACTTATCCAAACTCATCTTGAGCCATTTCCGCCTTTGTTCACTGAGCCTCAGGCTTCCTGGCCTTTGTTTCCCCTAAAATGCCAAGCTCTCCATTGCCTGAACAGCTTTAGTGGTGGCATGGCCCACCCATCTCAATCTAAACTGGGTCCTCTCTGTTCTTTTGTCTTTCCCTCAATAACATTTATTATAATCCATCAATATTCATGTTTTTTTTTAATATCTTTCTCATTTGTCTGCAAGTACCATCATAGCCAGGAGCCATGTCTAACAGCATGTTAATCTACTTGGGAAAAAAATATTATAATACCTTGCATTAAGTGGGCACTGAATAAATTAGTTCTTCATTGGCTGATTACATTGATAAACATATAAAATAGATAAAAGTGGAGCTGACCTGGTAGAAGGGGGCAAGGAATGGGAATGAAGTAGGCTTTAGAGATTCCCTAGGGTACTCTCATGGAATCCTAGGACTACATGGAAATAATATGAAAACCACTGTCTTAATCCAAGGCAATATATCACTAATAGGGGAATTGCAGAAACAAATAGCAAATCAGCACAAGAAATATTGTTAGAAGAAAGAACTTCTTTCTATAAAACATCCCAAATCACTTCATAAAGGCATCCACCTACATGTAAGACTGGCCTTAATCCTAATCATTGTTGTCATCCTAATATCAGTAACAACAGATAACATTTGTTGAGTGGCCCACAGATGCCTCCCCCTCCATGCTCTTATATGCATTATACATACAGGCTGACAGGCAGTATCATGTAGGTTAAAAATTAGGGGCCAAAATTCATCATCCAACTCTTCTATTTACTATATACGTAACCTCGGCAAATTAAGTTACTTAATCTCTCTAAGACTTAGTCTCTTCATCTGTAAAATGGGGATAAAAATAAAACCTGAAAGAGGTGTTATATAGATGAAATAATTAATGTAAATAATGCACCACAAAATAACTACTATCATGATTAACATTATCTTGTTTAATCATTAACATAACTATAATCCACTTTCCTGTCACCTCTACAAGGTACTACAAGGTACTGTAGGCAGCTGACCCATTCCTTGTATCTATCTAACAAAAGACATTCAGCAGCCTCCCTCAGCCAGTGTCTGGCACCTCTCTTTGCAGCTAATCACATTCCGCCTCCCTCTCTAGCGCCTCAGAGCAGTGCCCCATTTATCCAGTACATCACTTGTAAGGAACACATTTAAAAACAAAAAAGACAAAATAAGGCTCGCAATTGGAATGACTAATTCTCATGGAGAAGAATACCAATAACTGGATAGCTCATGTCTTTTAAAAATTGTTGCTTATAGTATGTCTGTTGTTATTTAATTCACACTAATATTTGTTACTGGGTTCTCTTCTGTTTTTTAGAATTAAACAGTGACTTGCAGGGATAGTGTCTGCAGAGTGGCCTGCAAGGATGCGGGACTCTTTCTAATTATACTACCACCATCTGGTGGTAACTATCTTGAGGTACAAGAAAAAAGTCCTAATAGACGATCTAAAATCTGTTTACACTGTGTCTTGCTAATTTAACCATACTCTATAAGTCACCTGATGCTAAATCTACACCGAAGACTCTTAAGCCTTCTAAAGGAAAATCAAAATCACTATAAGAAATGCTATCTCTTTGCTAGCATCTGCTTGCACCCAATGTGAATTTCGCCATCTTCATTATACAGCTCTTTTCTCCTCTTTTACCTGGACTACTGGAAACTTGGCCAACAGACGGTGTGGCTTGTAACCCTTGCTGCACCTGGGTATGGGTCCCCTTGGAGTCCTCCGTGCTTGTCATTTTCCTCATACTGTGTTTGGGACTACCCACTGGGGAAGCTGAAGGCACGGATGCCTGGGAATAAACAAAATAAAATTAGAATGCAGGAATGGGGTTGGGTGGGGTGGAGATCATGGTGGTGGGACTCTATCTTTAAAATCCTGGAAGTCCTAGACCATTCCCTACGATCTTCAAAAACGACTATTTGCACTTTCCTCAGCCTACCAGATCCCACAAACAAGAGGCTAACAGAGTCACAACATGTACTGTCACATATGATTATCTGCAGAGATGTTATATATAATTCAATACCTGTTGAAAACTATAGCAATTTTATAGGAAGATACCATCTTTTGGCTCAAGAGCAAATCTGAAGATGCCAACTGCTTCAAAGTGGTTTTAATCTAGGTCAAATGCAATAAAAGCAAATCCCTCAGCTATATGATATATTGTTGCTTTGCTGGGGGTGGAGGGAGGAGCAGTTATTGTTTCAAGAAAACATATCTAATAGCAATGTGGCTCCAATGGAATTAGGCCGTGGCAATGTGTCTGTATTTTCTATAATAGGAGTGTCCTTTCACTGGTTTACATCTCCCATCTCTCTAAGCAACTGTGGAAATGAAACCAAAATGGAAAACAAAAGAAGTTAGCCATTCCTGTTATGTTTCTGCTCAAGGGCATCAAAATTAAGAAGGGCTAATACAGAATAAAAGAGATTCTGTAATTCTATTGAAAATATTACTTTTCCTAGCACTCTGGGAGGCCGAGGCGGGCGGATTGTTTGAGCTCAGGAGTTCGAGACCAGCCTGAGCAAGAGCGAGACCCCGTCTCTACTAAAAATAG